CATGAAGGTTGACTAATAAGGATAGTTTTAAGCCATATTTCGGAGAGAGGCAATGGGCAAAATTTTAAGATATTTTTATTTATATGTCATATCACCACAGAATTTCACAAAGCAAGCATGCCTATATTCAGGATTGCCGTTAGACTCTTAAAACTGAACAAATCAATACGGCATTTCCTATCTCATAACAACCAATACTTGAACATTTTCAAAAGCATTTTTGCAGCAATTTTTACTTTATAACAAACCAATACAGGAGCAATTTCATAAGCATGTGACAACATGACATTTTCACTTCACAAGTGGATTTGTCAATTACAACATCTAGCACATTTTTCCCATGAATAGCTCAGGGTTTAATAAAACAAAGTATGATTTAACTTTCATAAAATATATTTTCTAACTGAAGGCAACGGCCAGTTTCTACGAAATTGCAAGAGGAATATGTGTCATTTTCATCAAAATATGTATTTTAAGACACTTATTATTCCAGATGAGGAAGGACAAACAAATTATTGAACATACCTGTGGAAACAACAACAACTCGGCTTCTATCAAGAGTAAAATATGAACACTTCCTTGTTTCCATACTGCTGTACCCTGCTTCTGAAACTCTGACAATGAGTGAAACATTTCCACTTGTCGCCCATTTGTAAATAAAAATTCTTCGCACGTTTTCATGCGATTAAGTCGTTATATCGTTGCGTACAAGCACTACAACTTAATCTTTCAAGAAACACTTTATTTCCCATGAACAAACCAGTAAAAGAGGACAAAAAATCCTCTCACAATGCATATTTTCAGCGTTCGAAGAATCAAAATGTTTGTTAAAGAAATGCGCCCGCAATATTTAGACAGCGACAACAGAATGCCCAGCTGTTCACACAGACACATTGATAACCTGACCCTTACCCCACTCTGACCCCCAACCGAAGGCACCTAACCCCCTAACTCCTCATTATGGGTGAAACGAAAATCAGTGCGCGCAGTAAAGATAAAGTCGTCAGTGAAGCTCTGATTCCACGACGGCGAAATTCTTCGCGAGAAATTATGTCTGCGAAATATGGATGGCTGCACATGAGCGATTCTATTGAATTTGGCCACTTTATTCGCTTTCGCAGTGAGTAGAACAAATTAGAACTGACTTCTACTAACTGGCGAAGCGAACTTTTTTCTCGCAAAGCCCAATTTATCTTTACTGTGCATGCACGATTCATTTTGTGCGAAATATTTCGCGTTTCGCCGCGAAAAAGCGCTCGTGGAATTACGTACAGCTGGGTGTGTTTGTTGTTTAGCTTTACGTCATACTTTTGAAATATAGAATTATAATTTCCGTTGTGAAACAAAAACCATATGGCCTGTTGTGGTGCTAAAAATAAAAATATATTTGCTTCTGCGTTCTGATTGGCTAAACGATGCAGGTGGGGTCAAATTAACAATTCTGATTGACGCGTGGGTGAAGTCACGCGCAAGATGTCGTCTTCTGATTGGTTGATATTTCAAAGGGAAAGCAAATAAAATACTGCTGTTGTGTGATTGCGAGTAGTGTTTATCACAATTTGTTCGCAAGTGTTTCGTTCGTCGCCTATACGAACGGTTTTTACAGAGAAGAATCCTTTGTTTCCTTAGAAATTGTATTCTAAGGCAACTTTATATCCTAACGAAGAAACAAGACTGAATTTGGAGACAGAAAAGTCGTTATATTCAGCACAAGAATGAGTCGTGTTCCAACGGGAAGAAAGCAGTCGAAGGCTTTGTCACCGCCACGAAGTCGAAGTAGAACTTCACCTTGCGTCGTTGCAACCTCGCTAGTTCGTTTTGAACAGCATTTTACAGACTCTTCCGACATAGACCCAACGTTCTATGCCGGCCCAAAGACGGCTCCACATCCAAGTAACGTACCTTTACCGCCAGCTCACTGGCTTACTTTTTCACAACCTATCAACGACTTGACGGTAATGACATTGCATTTGAGACAAATCTTAAAAGTGCAAGCGTAGCGTAGCTAAAAGCGTATTACTTTCCATAGTTAACTAATCTTTTTTCGTGTAAATTTCGTGTAAATCTGTAAGATATTTTAGGTCAAACTCGTAATTCGTAGATTGTATAAATGTAAATTTAGTTTTTGTATACATAGGTATAAGCAATATAGGATAAGTAACGAGAAACGACGACACATTTTGACAGCACAACACACACATAGAGTAAGCCTTTTTGCAAGCAGTAGGAACTAGGTTTATAACAAACAAAACGTACAGACAATTTCCAAGCTTTCTGAACAACAATGTTAACAATATTAAACGATACGAACGCTTTCATACCGACATTACCTTCGACCACAACGAAGTACAAACGAATCAACAAATTCGATCCCACGAGCTGAAATGGAGTTGAAATCTCATGAAGGCTTTGAAGTCTTTTGAAACCAGCAAACAGCCAAAGCACCCGGGATGAAAAGTAACGATCATGACTATTCATCGACGAAGATGGACATTTTTTAAACGACAAGACCAGACAAGACCTGCAACGACGAATCTCAAGAAGATTAAAATACTTTAAAAGCAGAAGAGACCTCAGGAAAGAAAGAATTCGGTTTCTCGCTACCTCAAGACAACGACTGGACAAGACAAACACACAACAGGCCCTTTTTAGGGCCGCCAAATCGCTCAAAAGAATTTAAACGAATTATTCGATATTGTTGTGGTTGTGGTTTTATATATTATTTACTGGGGGGGGGGGGGGGGGGGGGGG